AGAGAGAGAGAGAGAGAGAGAGAGAGAGGGTTGAGTTGAGTTGGGTTGGTTGGGTCACACATACCTACAGCTACAGTTCCTGTGAGCAACTGTGACTTCTAGCTCCTTGTCCTACCAAGAAGATTCTTGCCTTCCTTTTCTTCCCTGGATACCAACTACACCAAGTTAGCAATTCTGACTACAAGAGCAAAGAATTAAACAGGGTCAAGATAATAATGCTTCATCAGTTTACCACAATGCTGCTTTCCAGGTAGCCCAGCAAGTTTCTGCAGTTCCTTTAGCCCTCATGGAAGCTGCAGGATATGCTGCATCATGGTAATCAAACAGAAGCAGTCAGATTTACTACTGCATTCACTGGCTATGATAGATTCTACAGACAAATTAATGACAGATACAACCAAAAGAAAACTTGTCACCATTAGATCTTTACATTTATGAAGTACACTGGATCTTCCCGGATCTTAGCTTGCTTTCAGGGACAGCAATATACATACCTCTGGGCTCTATGACATTTGACAAGTAAAACACTGACTTACAGCTTAAGCCTTTGTGGAGATGTCCTCTGATGGGTCTTGCCTTCCAAGAGTTACTTTGGATAACAACAACAGGAGTCTTCTTTCTCTGGATGATTGTGCAGGCTTTGAGGTAAAGGACAACAGAATTCAGAGTCATGCAGATACCTGATACAGAAATGAGCAGGCCTTGACATCAGAAACTCATGGATCCAATTCTTCTACTTCTTCTACATGTATGAGATCAAAGGAGAAAACAGCAGGTAACAAGTGAATGCCACATTACATGGTAAGACTTCCTTCTAGTGTCTGTCTGTCTGTGTGTGTCTTATAGCATGGAGATGCAAACCCCCTGGTCCAGGAACATGCTATGATGGAACACAAACTCAACTGGCCTGGTTCCCTGAAATATCTGGCCTTCGGACGCGGTTCTTGGTCTTTGGCAATGGAGATGGTTCCCTGAATCCAGTACGTGCACCGGCCATGAGAAAGAATCCATCACGCTCGTCATTTGCAAGAGATTATTGGTGCATGCAAAGGCGTCACTTTTTGCATAGAAAACGAGTACTGAGTTCTGCAAGACAACGTGAAATTCGATCCCGGCGCTTCTTGTAACCCAACCACGGACGCTCTTTCTCCTTAGCAGATCATCAAAGCCCACGCATCATCTGTGGCGACTTTCGTCGAACAGCTTCCTGGCGACATCAAAACATAGAAGACCTGCGCGCACTCGGCCGTCCTGGCCCAGACCGGTCCCGGTTGCTTTGGTATGGACTCCTCTAACCTCTAGTATCCTCCTCGCTCGTTATTTGGAAAAGATTCGTTGTTCAAGCAAGGACGCCAGTCATTGCTAGAGATCGGGGACTGACTTCTGCGAGACAACGGCAAACTCCATCGCCCGCTTCTTCTAACCCATCCATGAACGCTCCCGTTCTGAGATCATCCAAGCTCATGCGTCACTTCCGAAACACTCAACAGGAAGATGTTGAGCCCCCTCTTCACGCTGCCCGGCCCGAGAGCGGATCCGGGATCCCACGGAATGTCATCTCCGTGGCGACATTTCGTCGAACACCTTGCTCGCGACATCAAAACAGTCGATCGGCCCGGCCCAGACCCGTCTAATATAAATAAAGTCAATAATATCATGAAATATATATATATATTTTTTTTTTGTCATTCCATTTATGGAAATAAATACGACAAGAGCTTAAAAGCAATTATAATTAACTACAAATAAATTGAATCTCCTCTTACCGATTTTTTATTTGATAATTAATAATAAAAAAGAATTATTATTTTAATGTTTATTTATTATTTTAAATATTATGATATTTTGATTATACTAGCCTTAATTACGGTATAGTTTGAATTGAAATTAAACTGAAATTAAATCAATCATGACGGATTAATGACAGATATGTGAGTTGAAAAGTGAGGCAACAATTTGATGAATACATAAGAAGGAGAAGAAAAGGAAAGCAGATTGGCGGATGAGGATCTTCCCATTCAGCTATAAAGGTCAAAATAAATGCTGTTGCCTTGTGATCCGGTCAATATTTATCCGCATCTCAATCATATCTGTGCTGCGGACCAATATGCATAAAGACCATCAACAATTATACCACTCATTTCTTGTGGTCATACCCATAATTATGATTATGGAAAGTAGTAAAATGCATAACAGCATAAATTTTATGGACCAATATCCATAATGTTACAAAGGGATAAGCAATAACAAATGGCTCTTCTATTGTTTGTTCTTTGTGGTTTTGTGGTTAATAAACATTATGTTTTAATAATTATGGGATGCAGTAGTAGCATACATAATGCAAAAAGAAAAAAAATTAAAATCATGTCATTAGTCCACACTCTGTGTTAATTAATGAACAAAATAAATAAATAAATATATGTATATATATATATATATTATTAGGACACACCAAGATCTCGAAATTCAATCTCATCTTCATCGCTCATTCTTTGTTAATAAATTATATATATATATATATATATATATATATA